TTCCTGTGCGCCTGCAAACCGACGAGGCCCCAGTTCAAGCCGGGACTTTGCTGCATTCTCGACCGATAGGGAGTCCGGCATGTGTTGTCACCGACCCATTACCCGCAGTCCAACCCACGCTGAGGCTGCTGTCAATCCGTGAAGCACCTCATCCTCAAAGTGGCCTCTGGGAATATTGACTGTGAGGCCTTCGACCGGTCTCCTTGAGTCTGCAACACACCAATTACACCGGACGCCTCCCTGCCCAGGTCTTGTATGGACGCCCCTTCGTTCTTGTGTCCCTGCTCACCTCAGTCCTTCTCAAGGGTGGCAGCCCAAGACAGAGAGTGTGATCGCCGAGCCGCCGAACGTGTTCAAGACGTCCGCCACTAACGACCACCCGTCTCCCCAGGTTGAGTGTCGGCACCCAAGTCGTGTTCAGGACCCGACCTCTACGTTAGGACAAAGTGGGCGTAGTCCTTGGATCTGGTCTGGAACTGCAGTTCGGTCAGGTGTGTGGTGGAGGAACCGCCGTTTTCTCCCCCTAACACCTTCCCTGACCACATCACCAGTGTTGAGTCCCACATCCCTCCCCTCCCCAGTGATTAAGCCCTCGACGCTCAGAAAGATCCACAGGAAAAGGTCGCTCAAGACTTTGCTATGAGCGTATGGGGAAGTGTTATATGTATGCTGTATGTATCTATGTACCTCTAATTACATTACTTCTCTAGTCAGTAGCGTGGCAATGCCCTGTTTCATGTCACCACACCTTAGATAAATGGCCTGCGACATCTGGAAGCTGCTAATGTACCACTTACCACATGTCGCCGGAGAGGTCAGAGAGGGTTGATTGACCCTATAAGTGTAAGGACTCCTGTGCTTGCAAGCGCATGTATATCGTTGAATAGAACCTACAGTCTACAGGTGTTTATGTTCGCTCCTGTAGTTAGACAGTACCCCGAACATCTCCAGTAATAATCATGGTCGCGGTTGTTATAATCATGGTCGCGGTTGTTATAATCATGGTCATGGTTGTAATCATGGTATGGGTTGTTATAATCATGGTTGTGGTTGTTATAATCAGTCCTGGTTGTTATTATCATGGTCGTGGTTATAATCATCGGTCGTGAACTTAGTATCTAATATACTATAAGAAGGAATAGAATAAAGGTTAGAAGAATTAGTTAAAGAAATTTCGCCATAAGGAGAGTTAAAATCATAAAAATTATTATGAATCACCGATGATCATTCCGAGATAAATTATATTATGAAGAAAGTGACTGATTCTGGTTATATTAGTCCATCTGCTTAATCATCACCTGTGTTAAGTCATCATAGTCACATCTACGTTAGTCAGTTTTAGGCCATCTCACAGCTGACCGACCATCGATGTTCTTTCCCGCACGAGTGTTAGTTTTCAATGCGTCTTATTATTTACGGGTGGATACCTCCTACCCTCCTGACGCAGCTATGGTCAATTTGGTGTTAATCTTGTTTATAAATGCTTCATCTAAGTCTATCCTGTCTATTGCCATCAACTGTCTGTTCGTCTGCTTGGTGTTTGAATGTAAGCCTGTATAATGTGAACCAGTCAGTCAGCTATAGTTGCCATATTGTCTATTTGTGCAGGTATGAATCGTCTATTTTTGTCAACCTCCCTCTTACTGTCTATATTCCTGTGTCTACATTCCATGCATTCCTGTTATTATCTTTTTATCTCTTCTCCTTTTCTTGAGACAGCCTTAACTATTGGCTGTGGTCGTCCGTTACTGGCATCCAAGGACGCAGATGAAGTCAGCTCCCCACCTGTTATCTCCAACTACTGTTTCCCTTATTGTTTATTTACTCATCTTCCTTCCTTTACTAATCCAAACAACATTAAAAAAAAGTAGGCTAAGAAAAGTGGGGAGGAGCCGACATAACTGCAATCGTGGGCTGACAGCGTACACGCGAATGAGGTGCGCAAGTCCGTAGACTTGCATCGTTTTCGCGTAAATAAAATGTTTATGTAATGGCCTAAAAACCATCGACATGGAACCAGGTTGTTATCTCTAAAATTTTTGATTCCACCATTGAAAAACGATTGTGCTGTTTGCTGCCCAACACACACACACACACACACACACACACACACACACGACTACTATAGTATATTAGATAAATAGTCTTGAGCAGCTAAATGAGAATGGTGAGGTGGATGTGTAATGTGACACTGAAAGACAGGAGGCTCTGTTGACAGCTAAGAGGCAGTGGAGGTGAGAGTACTGGGAATTCTACAGAGGCAGTTGAGAGGTGGTGGATGTGATGGTGACATCATTTAAGTCAAAAGATGCTGGAACCTAAATGTGGAGGGAGGAGAGCCAGGGGAAGTCCAAGAATTGGAGAGGAGGAGAGCCAGGGGTAGGTCAAGAATGTGTGGGAGGAGAGAGCAAGGGGTAGGTCAAGAATGTGGAGGGAGGAGAAAGGAATGGGGAGCTGGGATCAGAATGGGAGGGGGGCAAGGTAGGTCAGAATGTGGAGGAGAGAGACAGAGAAAAGTGGAGGGTGGCAAGAATGTGGAGGGGAGGGGAGGAGCAGGGGTCAAGAGAGGGAGGGGAAAGTGGGGGGAGGAGAGCCAGGGGTGGAGTCAAAATGAGGAGGGGTGGGAAAGAGGGGGAGGGAAGAGTGGGTCAAGAATGTGGAGGGGAGAGGCTAGGGGTGTCAATGTGGAGGAGAGAGCAAGGGTAGGTCAAATGGAGGAGAGCAAGGGAGGTCAAGAATGTGGAGGAGGAGAGCAGGGTAGGTCAAGAATGTGGAGGAGGAGGAGAGAAGGGGTGGGTCAAAATGTGGAGGAGGGAGAGCGGTGGAAGAATTGGAGGAGACAAGGGTAGTAAGAATGTGGAGGGAGGAGAGCAAGGGGTAGGTCAAGAATGTGGAGGAGCAGGGGGTGGGTAGAGAAATGTGGAGGAGGAGAGAGCAAGGAGTGCAAGAATGTGGAGGGAGGAGAGCAGGGGGGTCAGAATGTGGAGGAGAGCAGGGGTAGGTCAAGAATGTGGGAGGAGGAGAGCAAGGGTAGGTCAAGAATGTGGAGGGAGGAGAGGCAAAGGTGGGTCAAAATGTGGAGGAGGAAAGTGGGTCAAGATGTGGAGGAGAGGGGGTAGGTGAAGAATGTGGAGGAGAGAGGCAAGGGGTGAGTCAAGAATGTGGAGGGAGGAGAGGCAGGGTAGGTCAGAATGTGGAGGGGGAGAGCAAGGGGGGTCAAAATGTGGAGGAGGAGAGCCAGGGTCCAAGAATGTGGAGGGAGGAGAGCAAGGGGTAGGTCAGAATGTGGAGGGGAGAGAGCAGGGTCAGAAGTGGAGGAGAGCAGGGTCAAGAATGTGGAGGGAGGGAGCAAGGGGTGGAGTCAAGAATGTGGAGGGAGAGAGAGCAAGGTAGGTCAAGAATGTGGAGAGAGAGCCAGGGGTGGGTCAAGAATGTGGGAGAGGGAGGAGAGCCAGGGGTAGGTCAAGAATGGAGGGAGGAGAGCAAGGGGTAGGTCAAGAATGTGGAGGGGAGGCAAGGGGTGGGTCAAGAATGGAGGAGGAAGCAAGGGGTAGGTCAGAATGTGGAGGAGGGAGGGAGCAAGGGGTAGGTCAAAATGGAGGAGGAGCAAGGGTGGTCAGAATGGAGGAGGAGAGCCAGGGGGGTCAGATGGGAGAGGAGGCGGAGGAGGGAGGAAGGCAGGGGTGGGTCAAGAATGTGGAGGAGGAGAGCAAGGTGGAGTCAAGAATGTGGGAGGGAGGAGAGCAAGGGGTAGGTCAAGAATGTGGAGGGAGGCAGGGGAGTGGGGTCAAGAATGTGGAGGGAGAGAGCAAGGGGTGGGTCAAGAATGTGGGGGAGGAGAGCAAGGGGTAGGTCAGAATGTGGAGGGGAGGAGGCCGGGTAGGTCAAGAATGGAGGGGAGGGAGGCAGGGGGTGGGTCAAGAATGTGGAGGGAGAGGCAAGGGGTAGGTCAAGAATGTGGAGGGAGGAGAGCAGGGGTGGGTCAAGAATGTGGAGGAGGAGAGCAAGGGGTAGGTCAGAATGTGGAGGGAGGCAGGGGGAGGGAGGAGAGCAGGGGAAGAATTGGAGGGGAGGGGGAGTGGGGTCAAGAATGTGGAGGGAGGAGAGGCAGGGTGGGGTCAAGAATGTGGAGGGGAGGAGAGCAAGGGTAGGAAGTGGAGGGAGGAGCAAGGGTAGGTCAGAATGGAGGAAGGCAGGTGGTCAAGAATGGAGGGAGGAGAGCAAGGGGTAGGTCAAGAATGTGGAGGAGGCGAGAGTAGGTCAAGAATGTGGAGGGGAGGAAGCTAGGGTGGGTCAAGATGGAGGGAGGAGGCAGGGGTGGTCAAGAATGTGGAGGGGAGAGCTGGGGTGGTCAAGAATGTGGGAGGAGGAGGCAAGGGTAGGTGAAGAATGTGGAGGAGACAGGTCAGATGGGGAGGAGAGCTAGGGTAGGTCAAGAATGGGAGGGAGAGGCAGGGGAGGTCAAGAATGTGGAGAGGAGGAGAGAGCCAGGGGTGAGTTCAAGAATGTGGAGGGAGGAGAGCCAGGGGTAGGTCAAGAATGTGGAGGAGAGAGGCCAGAGGTAGGTCAAGAATGTGGAGGGAGGAGGCTAGGTGGTCAAGAATGTGGAGGAGGAGAGCAAGGGGTGGGTCAAATGTGGAGGGGAGGGCCAGGGGTGGTCAAGAATGTGGAGGGGGAGAGAGCCAGGGTAGATCAAGAATGTGGAGGAGGAGAGCCAGGGTGAGTCAAGAATGTGGAGGGAGGAGGCCAGGTGAATCAAGAATGTGGAGGGAGGAGAGCCAGGGGTAGATCAAGAATGGGAGGGAGGAGAGCCAGGGTGGAGGTCAAGAATGTGGAGGAGGAGAGCCAGGGGAGATAGAAGGGAGGAGAGCAGTGGTCCAGAATGTGGAGGAGGAGAGCTAGGGGTAGGTCAAGAATGTGGAGGGAGAGGCAGGGTAGAGTCAAGAATGTGGAGGAGGGAGCCAGGGAGATCAAGAATGGAGGAGGAGGCCGGGGTAGATCAAGGATGGAGGAGGCAGGTGAGTCAAGAATGTGAAGGGAGGAGAGCTAGGGGTGAGTCAAATGTGGAGGGAGGAGGCCAGGGGTGGGGTCAAGAATGTGGAGGGAGGAGGCAAGGGTAGGTCAAGAATGTGGAGAAGCAAGGGGTAGGTCAAGATGGAGGGAGAAGCAGGGGTAGGTCAGGAGCTAGCAATAAGAGGACATGACCCTAAGGGTATAAGAACCTGACGAAATACAAGAGACCATGCAGCAGGAGAGCTCAGGTAATTGTAGCTGCACACAAGTGTGAAAATAACAATAAAATAATGTGTGTGTGTGTGTGTGTCACAAGACAACATACAGTACAAGTACTCACAGGGCGCAGCCATGCAGTGAGAACTATCCTTGGTGAGTCACCAGGTCGGAAGGACAGAGCCAAGGTGTACTCAGCGAAGGTGGGCACCACCGCCTGAGCCGCCGGCCGGATCACCACCACGTTGACCCAGAGCGTGAGGAAGGCGGGCAGGCCACCGAACGCGTTGAGGATGTAGGAGTACTCTCCTCCTGCAGCAGGTAGCATGGTGCCCAGCTCACTGTAAGTACGAGGCAGACAATGTTTAGGTTAGTGGTCACCAACAACTACAATGCTGTAATAATGCATGAAATATTAATTTTAATATAAAGCATATTGTTTGTGTGGCTTCGGTAAGGCACACAAGTGAGGAGATAGTGAACGAGGCGACAAGGGGCCAAGCGCCAAAAATCACAATGGTAAACAACCCTCTTAAAGTTTGGACAAATTCAAAATTACGCCACTTTTGAACCAATGAAGATAATGAGTTCATTATAGTGGCAGTGTGTAGAACTGTTAAAGCTGGTTTAACAGATAGGAAAGTAAATTTAATTGAAAAGATTGTTTATAGTAAAAAGTACACTGATTTTGATGGGTAGTGTTTTCAGTTTTATTAATATGCATTGTTGATGTTAAATTTTCATTTCATAGAAGCAATAATGTATTAAGACCACACCAGAAAGTCGAAGGTCATTGTACTGTTGTTGAGAAGTAAACAATACTGTACCAGGTATTACCAATATTTCGGCCAGCACATAAAGTACATATTAAAAAAATCAGGTACTTTAGTCTTTGTCATTATTAGAAAAATTACATTAAACAATGACTTATTCTAATATTAATATTAATGCAAATTGAGAACAACCTCCTGTCTATTAGAACATAAAGTCTGCAATAGGCCGGTTGGCCTGTGCATGGCATCCTGTCGAGAGTTACTACCACTCTCTATCATCCATGAATCTATCGAGCCTCTTTGAAACTTTCCAAGGTTCCGCACTTACTACAAAGTTGCTAAGCTTGTTCCACTCGTCCACCACCCTATTTGTGAAACAGTTCCTTCCTCCCCTCCTAAACTGCTTACGTTGCAATCCGAGCTCTCCATCCTGCTCGGATATTATAGAACTTTATCTATATCCTTTATTGATTCATTTCACCCACTTAAATACTTCTATCATATCTTCCCGCACTCTTCGTCTTTCTATGGAATGCAAGTTTAGTTTCTTTAACCTATCCTGGTATGGAAGGTTTCTAAGTCCCAGAATCATTTTCGTCATTCTTCGCTGCACCGACTCTAGTGAATTGATATCCATTCCATAATAAGACCAGAACTGAACCGCTAATCGAGGTGCGGCCTGACTAGCGCAAGATATAGTTGCAATAAACCTCTGCACCCTTATTACTTACACTTCTAGATATAAAACCAAATCTCCGTTTGCCTTATTTCGAACATTAACGCATCTTTTCTGGCCGTAGGTCCGGGCACAAACCCTAGGTCTCTTTCACAAGTCGACTTCTCTTGGTTGATGTTGTTAGGCTGTATACATTGACAGTATTTGTTCTTCCAATTTAAATACGCTGCACTTGCTGGTGAATTTCATTTGCCATTTTCAGACCACCTGCAGTTTATTTAGATCCTCCTGTAACGCATTTGCATCCTGCCTGAATTAATCTGCCGCCCTATTTTGGTGTCATCACTTGCTTATGTCACTGCTGATCCCAGTATCTAGATCGTTTATGGTTATGAACAAGAGTGGGCCTAGTACTGACCCCTGGGAACCCCACTGGTTACAGCCCCACTCAGATTTAACACCAACTACGCTGACCCTCTGCCTTCTATCGGTGAGCCATGATTTTTATCCAATTTTAAACTTTCCCCTCGATACCATGAGCCTTAATTTTTCTCAGAAGCCTCTGATGCGGTACTCTGTCAAATTATGTTAAAGTCTAAGTAAATAACATAGTAATTTTCGTCATTATCTTTTACCTCGAAGACTTTCCTAAAAAACGTCAGCAGATTTGTTAGACAAGATTTTCCCTTTGTAAACCCATTGATGCTTGACATTTTTGGAAGGAATAATGTGTGGAGAACAGAACAGCACTTCCTTCACTTAGTGCTATAAGCCTCTTGCTAACACCCTCGCTCCCAGCCACCTCCCCTCCCTCTGTTTCCCCCCCAATTGGTGTTATGAAGACTTGTCACTCGGACAGGAAGATAACAGGCCACGTGCCAACAGCCCCCACTCCCTCCTTTCTGCCATTTAAAAAACAAATTCAAGCGTTATTACATAGCATTCATACGACATTTTAGTAGAAAGATCATCTCCCATTAGCTAAGAAACCGGAAGCAAATGAGTTGCCATGGGCGAGAGAGGCTACGATTGGGGGCTGCAGGCGTTTGTCCCCACAGGTTTAAATAAACCAAGTCAACCCACACACACATGGGCAGAGCTTATTATGTGACGTCGTTGGCTGAGGTGGATATTCTTGCAATATTTCCTGATCTTCTCATCCCTAGCACTGCAGGCGTTTATTGTAAGGCGTTTTAAGATGCCCGGAATAGCTATTACATTAGCTTTCCCGGAGTGTCATAAAAAAATACGACATTGTACCTCATCTTGGGAGTAACTGTTGTACAACACAGTCTTCAGGAAACAATAAAATTATAGAACTGTTATTTGGACAATCTGGAAAGAAATCAGTTAAGAGAATATATAGAAAATTATGGAAAGAAAGACAAAAGGAAAAAGTCAATCTGTCAACAATAACACCATGTCTCTCGCGGCTTGGTGTTCTCATATTTTTACACGAAATACGACGAATTTCAGGTTCGTTTGTCTTAATTCTTACACTTACAGAACTGCAATCAACTTGTTCACCCTTATTTAAAGTATCTTATGAGTATTGATATTAAGGTTTCAATCATATTGGAGTAATTATAAATATTGTTACACGAAAGTCACCAACGGCTAGTGAAATCGGACAGCGCCCACTTATAAACAGGAGGAGCCAAAACAGGTTTCAACTAGGCGAGATCTTAGTTCTTTCACGCCGTACGCTTTGTTTTAGGTCCTATCTCTCCCCCCCCATTATATTTCAGGACGCTATCATTCTGCCAAATTTTGAAATAGATATGCTAGGCCTCACCATTTCTTCCAATATGTCATGGAAGCCACATCCTCAACACTGCTAAAGCTGCCTCCCGAAAATTGGGAATGCTGTACAGATGCCGTATTATTCACTCCTGAGCAGTTGCTTCAAGTATATAAGGGATTCATTCGTCCTAACTTGGAGTACTGCCTCATATCTGGGGTGGCTCTTCTTCTGTCCAGCTGTTAGATTGGGTGGTGGAATCAAAGGCATTTCGTCTTATTAACTCTCCTCCTTTAGTCGACAATCTCTTCCTCTCTTCGCCATGTTGTTTACTTTTTAAAGGTACTTTAACGGGCACTGTTGGGTGGATTTGGCCTTGTGTACCGCCGGCAAGGCCGTGGGCTCGTAACGCACGTCTTGCCTGCGGTGCCCACCGTTACTCTGTGGATGTCGGTCACACGAGAATAGCCCGTTATAGTACCTCCTTCTTTCCTCACAGCCAAACTGTGGAATGCTCTCCTTTTCTGTGTTTCCATACTTATACAATCCGTCTCACTTTAAAAAGCTGGTTTTCCGGCATCTTCGTGAGTAGATTAACACAGTATAACCTTTTTCTTCTCTATTTTTAATTTCTTTGTTCTGGCCGAAAGTTAGACTCAGGGAATTTAAATCTGCCAACGGCTCTCAAGTATTGCCCTTCCTCCTGTTGCACCCTATATATTTGCTACCTGCACAATATCCACTTTTTCTCTGTTTTCATCCTTTGGAAATCGATGAAACCTCAAACTTTTATCATGTTGTCTGTAATATCACATGGATCCAAATACGGAGCATGTATCAGGCATTGTCATAGACCTTCGCACCACAACGGCCAGCTGGTAACCGAGCTCCCACCCCGGACCAGCTGTGGGCTCCCGGCCAGATGATGTCATGCGCGGTGAAGGACGAATTTTCGACTTGAAGTGGGTTATCTAGGTATAGCTCCCCATACACTCTCAGTTCGAACTGTCAAACCAGTTTGATCTAACTAGTTTGACAAACTGTTTGAGATGCTTTAGTCCCTTCAGTCCACCTCGAGGCACAGATCACGTACTGAAGAGACGCTTTTACACACCTTCACTAATATGGCTCTCAGCCTCACAAATATTGTCACAGTTTGTGTTTCTACAGATAGAGGAAAGATTGGGGAGTACAGATAATACTATAACTCAATTGTTGGGGGATGACGTTGGCCCTTGTTGCACTGAGTTTTTTTTTGTCCAGGGTTTTGTCCAGACCCCAACCTACTCATGGTTTCAAGGACAGAGCTGAAATTTGGCATGCTCATGTAAATAGCTTCGAGAATGCTTTGGTTTGGTTATTTTTTGAATGTGTACGTAATTTTGGTCAAGGACTATGAGCTGCTCCCACCACAAGCACCGTGTTGTGGCGGAAACATTCTGGTTAACGTCCCCTAAAACACACCCAGGGAACGCCGGTACCACACCAAATAATAACACTATCACCGTTATGCTGTATCAAACATAACACTGACTCACTGTCACGCTGCAAGATTATAACATTGAAACACTGCAAATAATACTTAGCTGTCATTGTAACACTCTACCAGTCACTACCACTACCTGTCACCATAACTACCTATCACTAACACTCTACCAGCCACTGTAACACTCCACCCGCCATTGTAACACTCCACCCGTCACTGTAACACTCCCCACCTGCCACTGTAAATACTTACCCACCTCTGTAACACTCTCTACCCGTCACTGTAACACTAATCTGTCACTGTAACACTCCACCCGCCACTGTAACACTCCCTACCCGTCTCTGTAACACTCTACCCGTCTCTGTAACACTCTACCTATCAATGTAACACCTACCAGCCACTGTGTAACACCACACCACACTGTAACACACGCCCGTCACCAACACTCCACCTGCCACTGTAACACTCCACCCGGCCACTGTAACACTCTACCCGCCACTGCAACACACTCTACCTGTCACTGTAACAGTCCACCCGCTACTGTGTAACACTCTACCCGCCACTGCAACACCCACCTGTCACTGTAACACTCCACCCGTCACTGTAACAATTCACCAGCCATTGTACATTCCACCCGCCACTGTAATACTCTCAATTACCTGCCACTGTAACACTCTACCAA